GGGGGGGGGGGGGTACGGGCGCACTCATGTTTTGCATGCTTTAGCTGTTAGACCATTGACCACGGGTGGGTTCGGGGCACTCGTTTGTTGCTTGCGTTTTGCAGTTGGGCGGGTTCGCGCGTCCTAATGCAGCTGTCCTTTGTCACAGCGGAGACAGGTCGGGAACGTAGGCCCTTCCCGTATTTATCACTCCCTTGCTTGATGGGAGGCAATGGAAACGGGGCTGTAAGGGGGCGGGAGCTCTCGATTCAAACAGGATGAGGGAATGGAAAGCAAGGGGATTTGCTGCCCTCCCTTGCGTGTACCTCGTTGTCTGGAGATCGACCGCGCCGCCCGGCGAAAAATGAGCGGACATCGGTGGTGTGTAGGTGTAGTTGTGTGCACCCCTCCCTCCCTCTGAGCCCATTTATTCTGAGAAAGAAATGCGCGCAATCATAGAAAAGACTCTGCTCGTTCGAGATATAGCTACAGCCCAAGGGTATGTGCTGAAGCCTTTTTTTTGTTGCTGTTGGATGGACACGAGTCGTCGAGGGCACTGATTGACAGGAATGGAACCGTTGCAGATTGGTGCTTTATCTAATAGAAATGGAACATAGGGGATGCCGTGTCCTTTTCCTCAACGGGATGGAGGCTCGACGAAAAGAGGCGTGCGGGAGGGGCGGGGATATCAAGGAGCGGCGTGAAAAGGCTAGCAGGTCGAGGTCGGGGTGTTGGGGGCAAAGGCGGTTGTCGGGAGGCTTTAACTCTAGCTCGTGAGGGCTTTGAGTATATGGCTTTCTCGATATGCCCTACGCCGCATGCCCTCGCAGCCCTTCCCCGTGCCATGTTACGCCGCACGTTTTCCGCCGGTCCCGATCCCCACCAATCAAAAACGACCCCTCTCGGCTCCTCTCCCCGGCCGTCTCACTTTGACGTCTGTTTGTTGACGTTCAGTTGTGGGCGTGTGAAGTTATTCATTGTTGTGTTCCAAGAAAAACTCGCGCCCGATTCTTTGCTCTCTCTTGTCGCCATCTGCCCTTTCCTGTCTCCCTTGACCTCTCCCTCTTCGTGAGGGGCGAGGAAGGTTGGCGGGGGAGAATGGGAGGTGCTTGAGAGAGACGTTGGATGGGTGTGTGCCGTGGCGGACAGGTTTCCCTCAGCTAGAATTGCTGTGAAAGGAGAAGTATTACGCCACGGACATTTGTTGTGCAGACGCGGCTGCTGCTTTGTATACTGTTGGTGCGTGCGGTTGTCTTCCCCGGAACACACGCTGAGCCGGCGCTCATCATGCTGTGGCAGCTAGTTGTTGACACCACTCTGAGCTTGGTATGAGACTTCTGTGCGTTTCTAGCTCTCATCTTTCGTTTATTCCCTCAGAAATTTCGACAATACTACGTTATTTTGGTCTACTAGTAGGCCCTTTTGTGTTGTGAATTTTTTTTTGGGGGGGGTCTCGCTTTTTGCCTTCGGCGCGCGGGCAGTGAGTTTGTGCTTGGGCCGCGATAGACGAGAAAATCAGTGCTTTGGCTGAGGTGCGGAACGAAAGGAGACGATATTTTTCTCGAAATGTGCCGTTTGGTGAGCCCGTAAACTTCCGCAATGGTTTACCGAAGAACAATTTGGTGGGCACCGCTGCGTACCACCACCGCTTTGGATGGAGCCGTGACAACAAGTTCTCTCGTGCTCGCGAAAGGCGCGGTAGCGCCCCTGTTCCCCTGAAACGCGACTCCGTCACTGATCACTTTCTCGTGTTCCAGCTCAAGCTCGGTACAGCCGTAGTTGCATGTGTAGGTTGAAGAACTAATTTCATCGAGCTGATTTCATGGTGCAGTTTGGCTCGATAAACTCGTACTTCTATCTTTTTTCGACCGTCATCCCTTGCGGCTTTCCTTCTCTTCCTCCTGCGTGCGGAAACACGAAAACCCCTCTTCCAAGACTACGATACGATCCCACCGATCCGGAAGGGGTGATGGGACTGGCGCACTCGAAGGGAAGCAGCGGTAGCAGTTCCGCCGCTGCCGCGTCCAAGTCGCCGGAAGAGGACCGAGAAGAAGGCGAAAAGGAGGAGGACGACGAAAAGGAGGAGGAGGAAGTTTGGGAGAGGGAGGAGGACGTGCAGCTGGACGACCCCGCCGCCGCCGAAGGCGGCGGTGGTGGTGCGGGTGCGGCGGATCTGCTGCTGCTTGGCGGCGGAGCCGGGAAGGGGCTTGCCATGTCGGACGTGTGCATCGTCGTGGACTCCGGGTTCTCGTTCACGCACATCCTGCCGTTCTACCAGGGCCGTGCTTTGCACAAGTCGGTGAGAGCTGCTGCTGCTGTGGGAGCGCGGGCCACAGGGGGCGCCACTGCTTGAAATACTTATTGTTTTTGCCCCCCCCCGAGACTCATTTACTCCGCGCAAGGGGGATGATCGCACCACGTTGTGTTAAGATGGTCAAGCACCCTCGAGGCACTTACACAGTGCTTACAACTGTCTCTGGAAGTGAAAGCACCAGAAAGTAAATTAAGTCATACGCAGCTGTCATCCGTACGCAAGGAAGTAAGCACAAGATGCCGAAAATCCTTAGCAGGATCCAGCGCACCCTTCATGCGACTCGCCGAACATCTCACGGCGCTTCGCGCTTGGTGATGTGAGAGCCTGGTCCGGTGAGAACCCGGCGNCCCCCCCCCCCCGAGACTCATTTCTTGTTTCCCCTGTGGGGTTGCGTTAGGATCCGGTTTCAATGTTGTTAAGTGAACAGGGTTCGTACCGTACTTTCAGGTTCTTGAACTTGTCCTACCTTCAGGGGATTCGATTAAGAGGTTCTTCATTCAGTGGTGGCGGGTTTTGAAGTCGTCAGCTTGTTTTTTCTCTCATCTATTTGCTGAGCATAAAGGTTGTTTGGTGCAAACAAAGTAGACCACAAGGGAATTGGGTGATGCCGTACGATCCTCTGCATGTGCTTTCTCCCCTTGGCGTGTCTCCTCGATTTTCTCGTTGGTGGACATCCGGCTTCCTTGTTTTCTACCAGAGACGGGCTCTACCCACAAGGACGAGATGGGTCGGGCTGAGCCAGGGACCGCGAGAATAGGCGGTCGGTCCTACACGCGACTGGAATGCCCTTTGAGCTGGATGTAACAAAATATTTTGGTACTAGCTTTTTTCCACTACCGCAGTGTCTCGCTTAATTATTGTACTTTTCGCGCACTCTGCCCCCCCCCCCAACACACCCTCTGCCGCCCCGCCCCCACCGTACTCGGCTCTTGTCCTGCCGTGTCCTCCTCTTGCGTGCTCTTGGAATCTTATCTTGTCCTGTCCTATCCAGGCGCTGAGGGTGAACGTGGGCGGGAAGTTGCTGACCAACTACCTGAAGGAGGTCGTGTCGTACCGGCAGTGGAACATGATGGACGAGTTCGAGGTGAGGCTTTGGCTTGTCTCTCGGAGCCTACAGGCCTTGTCTTTAGAGAGCCGCGGGCCTTGTCTTAAGACCCGCAGGCCTATTCAAGCTTGTATGCCAGTCTCTGAACGGTTAATATGCCGGCGCTGACCTCGTTTTTCGCGGTGTTGTTCGTGCCGGATGCTCTTCTCTTGACAACGGGCGCGAGCTTCTGCATACTTCAGTGACGTTTGTCGTGCCTAGTGCACTTGATAGCGGGGATTGAGCGGCTGCATGTTTCCGTGATATCATTCCTGTCGAACACGCTTGACAGCAGGCGTGCGCACACTGTTGGTGGACGGTTGGTAACGGTGTTACTTGCGGTTGGGCCATGGTTTTTCCGAGATGGCGCGCTTCAGGCCTGGCGCGCCATGGTATTCCTATGAAGGTTGTCCTTTGAAATCGGGACGATTCGACGCGCCGATAGTGGCAAGATGATGAGTGAATGAATTTTGGCAGCTTTTCACGCCCCCCTCCCCACGCACGCCCGAACACATTCTTGAGCCACCTTCGGCAAAATATGAAGGAACGATTGGCCATCGGTGATCAGTCCTGTGGGGACAACGCTCCGTCCTTTCGAGGACGCGTGGCCAATGGTCTAACAGCAGGGCACGCAAAACATGAGACGCCCCCCGCCCGCACCCCTACCCTCACCCCCTGGTGTCTGACAGGTTATGCAGGACGTGAAAGACTCGTTGAGTTACGTTAGTCTCGACCTGGATGCCGATCTTCGCGCGGCACGCAACGTGAGACCAGGCAACCCGATCGTCAGGTGAGCACAACGGTTGCTACGGTACCGCTTCTCTGAGGAACGGTGCTGTCGATGACGAGCAGTTCGCGGCGGTCGAGTGGTCAAAGATTTTTTTTCTCCCAGTGATGGGCGGCGGAGAGGGGAAATTGGTGATCATCCTGTGTGTTTTCCCTCGCGCATTCGCACGCACGCCCTGTTCTCTAGTTTTGTGTTTTTTGCTGCTGTTCCTATGGCGTTCATGAAGTGCTGTTGCCACCCTGCTGTTGTTGTCGATGCTGCTGCTACTGTAGTTGCGTTTTTGCTGTTGTTGATGGCTTTCGTACAGTGCTGCTGCCGCTGTTGTTGTCGTTGCTGCTGTTGCTCCTGCTGCTGCTGCTGCTGCTGCTGCTGCTGCTGTCCGTTGATTCCGTTCACGCTGTCGTTTGTTTGTCTGCCAACCAGAGAATTCGTCCTCCCGGACCGCAAGACCGTGATGAAGGGGTTTCCTAGAGAGGTGGACTGGGATGCCCGCATGAAGCGACGACAGCAGGAGGAGCTCGGAGTGGAGGATGAACAACAACCGCAGGTAATTTTATCTGTCCACCTAAACGCAAGGCATGGCCCGGCACCTTCACTGTTTATTAATCATTTCTTGACCTAGACGCGAAGCATGCTCCGGCACCTTAATTTGTGGAGGAGTCTTTTTTCACGTAAATTCAAAGCGTGGTTCGGCGGCTTTGTTGTTGATGCGTCTTTGCTACCTAAGCGCTAGAGCGTGGCTCTCGGCACCTTTCGGGGTGGTGCGTGATGGTGTTCAGGTCATGACCATACGATGCTAGCTCCTTGACTCGATACCGCCGCTGGTTGTCCTCTCCGTGTGTGCATGTGTAGGTCCTGACGATGGGAAACGAGCGGTTTCACATACCGGAGGTGCTCTTCAACCCGTCCAACATCGGACTGAGACAGATGGGGCTCTCGGAGGCCGTCGCGACATGCATTGAACGGTGACTAGAAGCAATGGTGATTGTAGCGCGGTGATTGGAAAGCGGGGATGATAGGCTGGGGGAGCTTGGGATTATACAGCGGGGATTGTTGAACGGTGGTGAACGTGACTGAGAACTAGAACGGGGACTGTACAACGGTGATGACTGCACCGTGATTGAAGCACGGGGACTCTGCCGAGGCTTGGGTGGTGGTGGTGGGGTTGTTGGAGAACTCGTACAACGACCATCAGGCGATTAATCTGTCGGTAGGCGAATCCATCGCTCGATGAGTCAGTCGTGTAGCGCTTGGTGAGGCCGTGCTTTGACGCCTGGGGAGGATGGGGCTGGGTGTCCGGTAGTGGATGTGTTGGCATTTATTTTTCTTGTGTCTTCTGGGTTTTCTCCTTTCCCATGGGCTGTGTTTATATGGTCAAGCACCCTCGAGGCAGTTGCACAGTGCTTACAACTGTCTCAGGGAGTGAAAGCGCCAGAAAATATGCTTAGTCATACGCAGCTCTCATCCGTACGCAAGGAAGTAAGCACAAGATGCCGAAAACCCTTAGCAGGATGCAGCGCACCCTTTATGCGACTCGCCGAATACCTCACCGCGCTTCGCGCTTGGTGATGTGAGAGCCTGGTCCGGTGAGAACCCGGCGTGCTCCGTCCCGGCTTTGTAGGGATGCGAGGTCAATGGTCTAACGGCTACGGCATGCACGACTATGAGTACCCCCCCC